TCTCTCTCTCTCTCTCTCTCTCTCTCTCTCTCTCTGTCTGTGTGTTTTTACTCGTTGCTCCTTCCAGTGGATCACGCCTATTCACCCTTGTCCTTTACTAAGCTCCAAAATCGAACAAAAATAATGTGTATCACGTTTAGGTCTCGTTCTATCGACACGTGTTTGTTCGTTTGTTTGTTTGGTTGTTGTTGTTGTTGTTGTTGTTGTTTTTGTTGTTGATGCTGTTGTTGTTGTTGTTGTTGTTTTTGTTGTTGTTGTTGTTGCTGTTGTTGTTGTTGTTGGTGGTGGTGGTTTTTTAAAATGTTGGCAGTAGGCAATCTGATGGTGCACCGTCTATCCCCGGTAAAATGGTATTATGAACAGAGCTCTGGAAATCTGAGTTTCAGTCATGAGAGCACAGGCGGTACCACCAAGGAGCTTTCATTTAAGAATGATTCTATTAGGCGTACATTAAACGTCACTAAGATCGACGAAGAAGATAAAAATGAAACCAAACCAGGAACCATCGTCGATGGCGACCAATGTTAAAAATTGAAACCCAAAGGAAAAATTAATACAAAGATAACCAAAACACAAACAGGCAAATAAACAAAAAGTAAACCATGAACGAGGTTTGCAATACAAACATTTATTTCAGATCATACAGCAACGATCTGTCTATATTATGACTGCGCCAAAGGGTCTTCACTCTTTGAGCAAAATAATAATTTTCGATGTCTGCGTCCTGTCAGAAATTGACTTCAATCCAGCCGGAAAGGCAAAAATATCTCTTCTTCACTGCTGCTGGAAGAGATTTCGAAAACAACAGGTGCCCTTTTCGAGTGTGCTGTAATAAAAATTAAAAAAAAACGTCGTGAAAACATTAAACTTTTCGAGTGCACTGCAGGGTAAAGAAATAGACATGACAAGACTAGCGCAAGAATGCCGAAGAATCGTACAAAATCTGAAAACAGAATTCACCTAATGTTAATTATATGTAATAGGCTACAGCATACGTTGTGTGAGCTTATAACCTTTTTTTTTCTTTGCTAGGAACCCTTTCACCATTGGCTATTCCACCGGCTTTTTTTTGAGTAATGGTTACGCTTTTTTCCCCGCCGCAGGCGGAAGTCGTGGGTTCGATTCCCGTATAGGGAGTTGTTTAAAAAAAAAGGGTATGTACTCCGCCTGCTCGGTGGTTCGTTGTACTCCACCCAGACTACGTAGACCCTGACAGAGAGGGTTGCAGCCCGCCTCCCAAACGACCCAGAGTGTATTGGTATTAGTGGGGGAGGAAATCATTTACAATTACTAGATCTAGCATAGATAGACACATGCATAAACACATCACCGACCTTTTAAACAGTTATTAGTGTTTTTAAGCCCTGTCTGTCTGTGTGTCTGTCTGTGTGTCTGTCTGTCTGTGTGTCTGTCTGTGTGTCTGTCTGTCTGTCTGTCTGTCTGTCTGTCTGTCTGTCTGTCTGTCTGTCTGTCTCATCTTGTCTTACCGCATAGCATTATTTTTGTGATTTCAGTAAATTAGAAGTTGGTCACGCGCATTTCTGTTGACCACCCCACCCCCCGAAAAAAATCATGAATAAAAATAAGAATAAAAAAGACTGAAATAAAATATTAAAAAGAATTGTTCCGGCCTGGATTAAAAAATGATCCATTTCACACACACACACACACACACACACACACACACACACACACACACACACACACACACACACACACACAAAAACACACCTTCAGAGAGAGAGAGAGAGAGAGAGAGAGAGAGAGAGACAGATATACAGA